TTGTCCTGGATTTTAGTGGTCTAGTGTTGTTCTTTATATAGTCTTATATATGATCTCATGCATATACCAATACCATAATATTGGTGGGTCCAACTGATTTTTTCTTTTTTATTTCATCTTATTTTGGTTGTATATAGTCGAATAAAATGGATGTTTTCTGTTGATTTCTGTTATAGCCCACAAGAAAATGGTCTAGTCATGTTTTCAAATAGCACACGTTCTGTCTTAACAGCATAAAAGAAGACATTATCCTTTAATCACCTCAATCAATATAATGAACTATCAGGTCGATAAGTACAGTTTCTTGGAGTGGTGCCAATGAGATGTTTTGAAAATTATATTGGCTAAAATTTCTAATATCTGTAAATGGGGTCAAATGTTTGTGATGTTTGAAAGTGATCAGGAGATTAAATGGCTTTTAATAGCAACAAGCGCATCTATTTCATATCTGAATGTGTGGTTTGAAGTGAAAACATATAGAAGCAATGTGTTGGCTCCTGCCTGTGACTATACCAAGCTCTCAAATGATAAAATTATTGACATAATAACTAACTAAATATCAAAATGTCAAGCTCTTGAACGAAACAGAAAATGCCCTGCTATAAATATCAAAATTCAGTCACAACGAAATCTGGAGCTTTTCATCGTCACTTATTCGAACTCAAGGATGGAACATACATGGCATTTCTTTAACGGTTTCGCTCTTCACAGGGTTAATCAGGTTCACACTACCGTATCTAGATGGACCGCTTGATTGTTCTTTTTCAACCCATTCCCAAAATCTACAATTGATACTGCAGCAAATGAATAATTTTCCTTTGTTTTCATCCTCCTCCTTTGCCACAAAACATTTCTCAAATCCATGCTTACATCGTGTACAAGGGCGTTTCCTTTTGCAATTGACAAAGAATGGATCTTTAGTTCTACAATCATGACAGATTCCAGAGTTCCCAGAATGAGAATCAACCACCAACAAGAAAGGAAAAGTCAGTAATCTATCAATTCAATATAGTTCAGAAATGAGAACTATTGTGAATACCCAACCCAGATAAGCTATTCACAACTATATTTCGAAATTGAAGAATACAAAAAATCACAACTGATTAAATACAATAAAACCCTCAACAAATCTGTCGAATACCCCATTTCAACGCGCAGTTTGCTGGAAGCCAGAACTGATGAAATAGAAAACATTATACCTGAGCACAGTTGAAAAATGGAAAATGATTAACTTGTTGGAAATTGAATGAAATTCATTCCACTTCCTTCAGTTTCAGTCTCCTTCAATTTCAGAATTGAATACGTTCATTCCACTTCCTTCAGTTTCAG